GATTTTAAAGGTATTTTCTCATTTTTCTGAGTTTGTTGCTTCAAAGTGAGAATCAGAGTTTATTCCCACTTTAGCAAAGTTGTTTAAGGCCAATTAGTTTTGGTGCACTGCAAAAACACAAAACCTCACCAGTAGGTTATTGTGCAAATATCTTAGTACACTTGAAATAAAACAAATGAGCTTAGAAGTAACTTTTTAGTAAAGTGTAGGAGCTTGTTAGTAAATATTTCTTTATCATTCATTAAATAGTTCTAGCTCTATTGGAAGATTATTTTACTTATAACAAGACATTCTTCCTGCTATCAGTGAAATAACTAAAACGTTTTAATCATTATTAAGAACTTTTTAACTTAAAACAAGCTCTTATATCTTGCTGAAAAGTTACTTGTGAGTTAGTTTTATATTATCTTAAGTCTACTAAGATATTTGCATTAGAAACTAGACAAAACTTATTTGGAGAGATTTTGTGTTTTTCAGAATCAGAATTCATTTCAGTGAAAAACACAACAAAATTTAACTGAATGAATGAATAAATGATGAAGCGGCGTTAGCGTTCCAGGTCGGGTCTTCACTGATCCAGGAACTTTAACTCTGGCTCCATTTCCATCCTGTCCTCATTTATACTGATGGGCTGAATGTCTGGTTTACATTGGAAACATTTAGTTGTTTCTAAATTTAACTGTTGGAGGTCATTTTGAAGGCCTTGTCTCATAAACACGTTTTCCTTTGGGAAAAGAAATGATAAAAGTAGTCAGAGGGCCACAAAATCATTTTTATATGATGAGTTTTAGGCCCTCTTGTCATTTAAATCCAAATAATCTACTGCTGGCCACGGCCCCCAAACTCAACATTTACACTTCCAGGTGAAAATTCCTGCAAACACATGCACAGTTACACAAGCGTGCATGTTTGAAAAGCATGAGTGGGGCCTCCTGCACATCCAACGAGAATGCAGCGAGTGGTTTGTGGATGGAGAGGCAACAACAAAGTGCTTTCTAGCAGCCATTATACATCTCAAACAGTAGTAACAGCAGCTGGGTTGCTAGGTAACAAGACTGGACTTAGCTGGGGTTGCTAGGTAACGGTGTGACTTAACAACTGGAAGGTTTTTGAAACAACTGTTTTTCCAGACACCAGAAAACATTAATTGATCAAACAATAAACAGGTGGGTGTTTATTTTTGAGCAGTTGTTTTGTTTTTAGGAGCAATATGAACCCGAATGGAAATAAAATATGTGCAATATGTGACAATTACATAATAGATACAATTTGAATTAAAAGTTTTTTGCCTTCTTTTTATTGCATTTTAATGTCATGTCTACTTTGGTCAACATTTCTTGTTCTTAAATCTACAAATAGATTTGACTTGAAGTAAGTAATAAAACAAACACTAATCAGATTTTTTCTGAAAGCTGAATAAAAAAATAATTTGTTATAACATCTGCATTTTTCTGCACCAACGCTCGAAACATTTCTCTCCTCAGCGACCCAGGCGGCCGCTTCTGAAGTACTTTGTCTGTTGTGACACTCACAAGACTCTCCTTCAGCACTTTGAGTGAAATTAAGTTTTTCCTGCATTTTAGACAGTTAATTATACTCACAACTAATTATCAACTGGCAGTGCCACTCAGATAAACTCAAAGTGAGTCGCGGGAACAAATCAGGAGCAATTTTTCTTCTGCAAACATCTTTTCCTGGCGGCAATCAGGCGGAGATCAACCTGATGCATTTAAAGTAATTTACATTACTGCCTATATCCTCTTCCTGTAACATGTACAGTCGAGTTTCTCTCTTTTTCGCCTGTTTTGCCTCCATTTTCTCTCTCTCTCTCTGTGCTGCTGATTAAGAACACAACCTGTTGTTGTTGCACCTCTTTCCTGATTACCTGCTATTTTTTCCTCCTTCCTCCGCTTCATCTCTACCTCTTTTTGGCCTAGCTGCTTGCTCAACCACACGTTGTGTGTGTGTGCGTGTGTGTGGCGATGCATGGCAGCCTAACGAGTTTGATGGCTGTCACCTGATCTCGGTGATGAGGGGCTGCTGTAGTAGCGAGAGGAGAGTTAGGTTTCTCCGCTGTAATTAGTTTTCCCAGCCTCTAATTATACGAGACGGAATTACAAGCCTGATTGACTGTCCTTTAAGCATTTTAATTCACAGAATTACCCTTTTTCTCTCTTTTTTCTCAAGAAAAAGTGGGAGAGTTGTTGTTTTGACAGGTTGGTGTGTTGGGATGGTCACCGAACATTTTCATGGAGGAAAGCACTTTTTAAAATTTTATTAGAAAACATGCTACTACATTTGATAATCTGACAAATATTCTCACATTATAATCCAACATAATTTCCAAAACCTGCAGCAAAGTACAGGTACTTCATTGCTACAGTTTTGATGTCATTGTACTTTATTTAACTTGGTGAAGTTATTGGTTTGCTCTTGGCTCAGTCTGGTAGATTTGGTTCAATTGGTAACAAAAACTGCAGCATTTGATACATTTTCAGCTGTTGGTTCTCCTTCACACTGCACTGTGACAAATAAACCAAGGCTTTTGAAAAACCTGATCCCCTCTTGGCCTTTTGGGGGCGCTGCAGCAGGACGCTGAGCTCAACGTCCTTCTTCATATCAAACATGGAGTAGCGTTAGATTTTAGCGGTTGGAGGATTTCTCTTTTCTTTATGGTGTAAGACAAAGAGTGCTAATTCCCACTAATGCTAAACTCTTTAGTTGTTTTTACCAAGAATTGCTTGTGCTGAAGTCCTGCTTTTTGCACGATCTCTGGTCCGCTTGGTGTTCACATATTCATTCAAACCGCATCAAACCAGACTTTCTAGACAAACGGATTGGAGTTTGATTAAAATGGACTGAATCTGCAATCAAACTCTAATGTGGGCCATAAAAACAGACTCTGGTTTCCTTACAAACCTCGGTCTTGGTTGGGTTGAAGTGAACTCTGGTGCAGTTTGAATGCATGTGTGAACGCTGCCTCTCCAAAAGCAGGAAGTGCTACTGCAGATCAGAAATCAGATTTTTCTTAAACTGGAATAAAACCATTTTTGCTGAATATTTTAAAAAATGAGCATTGAAATAGAAATGATTAATTCTTTCACAGAAACATCTTTTTTTTTTCAAGATTACAGCTTATGATGAGTATTCCTTTTTTATTTGTGTTAACTGAATAAAGTGTTTTGTCTTTGCCTCCATGACCTGAGAACTCTCTGATCTTGTTAATAATCCGGCCGACTGAACCAAACTCTCTGCTTTCTTCTTCTCTTCTTTATCACTCTCGTGTCAGTCTTTTCCTTTTCTGTTTTCCTTTTGTTCTCGTTTCTTTGCTCTCCGTCCTTCTCATCATCCCGTCTTTCCGCTCGGTTCTATCTTTTCCTCGGTCTGTTTCTCATTCTCGCTCCCTGCAGACTTCTGCCTCTGATAGGCCAGCAGCCTCTCAAACTATTAACTCTGCAATCCCTTAATAACAATCACAATCCCTCCATCCCTCCCTCCTTGTGTCTTTCTCTGAAGCAGTTCATTTGATCACTTTATTCGAACCTCCCATTCATGGGGCTCAGATCACACAGGGGGCTGTAATGACAGCACATTTATTAATTAATTGCATGTGTAATTGCTAAAATTAAGTTTTGGAAACTTGGTAATGATGTGAGGAATTACAGGGGACAGGCTTTGAAGACCAGCTCCCCCTCTAGTTCTTGTGCGGAAGGATGGATAGAAAGATGGAAAATAAAAGCGGGGGGAGGAATAATCCAGGAGGGGGGAAGTGCAGAAGGGACCGCCGATCAGAGCCCAGAGTTTTGTCTCTGGCTAATCTTCTCCTCTGAAGTGGTGTCATGGCCGTCACTCTGCTCTTCCCGGCAGTCCAGATCTGTCCGTTGTGTGGCTGCAAATTTTCCCCATTGATTCAGACTGGGCTACTTTAATTAACTTCCTCCCTGATATAATGGCTAGCTCAGAGGAATCTGCTCGTCGCCAAAAAAAAAAAAAAAAAACTCTGAGAAAACTTTTCCCTGCATCTCCAGAACGGCTTCCGCTTCTGCGTAATTTATTTCCTCTTATTGTTGAGACTTTGTCCGAAAAATTAGATTTGAACATGAGTGGTGAATTGTTTATTGTCTGGGGTATTCCAGAGCAGATGTAAGTCCTGGGTCTCTGTGTGCCGAGAAGATAGGAACAGACTCCATTATGTGTTGAGTGTGTAATTTGACTGGATGGACGTGTGGATGGGCAAAACGTCCTTGGAGGGATAAATGGTTTATCACACGTGTGAACTGTTGAAAAGGAAAGAGCGAGAAATGGAGGGAAGATAGAGGTGTAAATATAGCACATTTTACCCATAGAGCTGTGCAAAAGTTATGGACATTAAAACTAGATCTCTAAATCATTTTAGTTATTGATAAATAATGGAAGCTACTGTTCAAATAGTATTAACAAATAGTGATTGTTATTTTAATTTTCCCTGTCCAATTTGAAAGACTTTATTTAAGAAATAGTTATTAAGCAATATGGAATTTTTACTGCCCTGGCTGGACAGGGCTCTTAGCATACGCCATTTACCCAGAATACAATGCAATGTAAACAACATGATGATTTTTATTTTATTTTTTTGACTTATTTCACAACATTTTATTTGAATTGATAAAAAACTAAAAATCCTACTGCAACAGCATAACAAGGCGACTGCAGATAGAAAAAGGAGGACAAAAAAAACAAGGGAACGTCTGAGCTCCAAAAGTTAAAAAATGCCTGGAAATATTCTGAACTATTTATATTAATTTAGAAAACGTGGAAAAAGTAGACTTTTGAACATCGGAAATGTGCATGTTTTTTTTTCTGGAAAATTTCAGAGATTAATTTATTTTTTTTTATTTTTGCGGTAATTTACTCTTCGTTTCTATCTACATAGACCCTAATGCAACAGGCTATTTTGTTGAAATAGTCAAATGGACGTCGCCATGTTGTTTACGTCGCAATGCATCCTGGGTATAGCTAACGTATGCTAGGAGCTACGAAGCTAGCTCCGTTCGGCCAGCAGTTATTTTTGCGCGCTGGGAGACGTTCGGTCGTTCAGTTTGAACCGGATTGAGTTGGAATGAAAAACGAAGCAGAAATGAGTCGGATAAATGAGGATGTGAAGCTGACCGGCTGGATTAGGCGGAGAAGTTTCACCTGTCGGTGCGTCACCAAACCAAGGCCGGAGGACCGAGGAGCCTTAACGGTTTGGTGCTTGGGGGAAACAAAAGGCGAAACGCTGAGGAAACAGGCCCTGGACTGAGCTGTGGGGGAACCAGGTGAGCTAAACATACCTGTCTAAACCCGTCTGCACTGTTTTCATTGAGCTAAATGCACCGTTTTTAAATCTCCTGGGGTTTTCTGTGGCCGCCACCTCCCAAACAGTAACTTATGAAATGAGAAAGTTTAAGTGCTTACAAGAAGTTTGACAAGGCCAAACTTTTATTCTGCAATAAAAGAGAACTGGGTTCAAGTTCGAGTTTAATTTTAAAGCACAATTCAGCAAAGAGGGCTTTGCCATAAAACATTCTACAGTCATGAGTTATTAAAACAAGCAGCAGACATTGTACCTTGTCAAATGGCACCATCAATACACATCAGATAAATTGATCAATGTTTGTTAGTTTTCTGGAAGTTTGTTCTGGATTTGTGGAGCATTGAGGCTGAATGGGGCTTTTTTGGGATGCAGACCAGAACCAGAAAACCTGCTAAGCCTTTCAGTGATTTATAAACTAACAGGAGCGAGTTGAAGAACTTTAGCATGAGGTGAAGTTCTCCATCTTCCTGGTTTTAGTGAGAACATGAGCAGCAGCGATCTGGACCATCTGAAGCAGACTGATGCTTGGGGAAGATTACAGATAAATGGATGGATGAGTTTCTCCAGGTCATCCTGGAACATTAGTCCTTTAATCCTGGAAATGTTGTTCAGGTGACAGAAAGCTGATTCAGAAGAACAATGGAATAAACATGTTTTAATGACAACATACGGTACAGCTGAAAAACCACTTTGTAATAGTGTTAAAGCCTTTTAGTGTGTTTCCATTAAGCCTATTCATTTCTTCTGCGTTTCTGCCAGTAGTAACATCCAGCTGTTAATCATGTAACTTGCATGATGTGAAAAGTGTTTAACAAAAAGTTACTCTAGATTGAAGCAGATTTTCTGTACCTGTAGATTTCAGTCATAATCTTATTTAGTAATTTATTGTTTGTATTTTCATTACTTCTATCCTTATAGACTCTCCATTGAAGTCAAGTTTGTTCTCACATCATACATCAAACTAGCCAAGGGGTTAACGCTTTGGCTCTCGACCATTAAACCTCTCCAAAGGGAGACAACATCTCATCTGTACGTCTCTGTTTTCGCTGAAAGCGGGCAGCTAATCTGGATCGGTGAGGAGTGCGGGGGGAAGAGCCGGCCGCTCCGATGTGAGGGCTTGTGATAGCAGAGACACTCGATCACATTTATCTGCGGTTTACACCTTCCTGTCTTGATCTCTGAGGTATACAGGGGATCGCCTTTCTGTCTTTAAAAAAAGTAAAGCACGTAACAGAGGGCAGAGGAGGGGAGGATGCATGGAAGAGGAGAAAAGAGGCCGGGGGTTCTCTGTGTGAACGCTGGTTGGAACTGTAAAGCGAGCCGAGCGATGACAGCTAAATGCGCTAATTTTCTGCTGGGACGCACACTTTTGTCTCACAGGGAGGGCTCAGGACTCTGGGGGATCAATAACTTTTCAACATTTCAATGGTTCAGCTTTGACTTCAGCGACTAGATTTAAGCCTTTTTGCAGGAAACCTGACGAGTTTCATGTTCCTGCCAATCAGAAAGCAAAAAACTACTGCAGGTGAGGGCAAGATCTTTAAAACCCAAAACGGTCCAATGTTTCCAAAAACCTAATCAAAGCAAAGCATCCTATTAAATCTAAAAACTTAATTTTACAATCATTGATTTTTTTCTGTTCTACACTGCAAAAACACAAATTACAGAGTATAGGTTTCTGTATAGATACTTAAACTAACTTACAAGTAAGTTTCCAGCAAGATATATAGGAACTTATTTTAAGTAAATAATTTCTTAATATTGAAGTTCTAGTTCCACTGGCAGATTATTTTACTCAGAAAATGGGAAAATGTCTTGTTATAAGTGAAATAATCTGCCAAGATTTTTACAGTATATTATTTTTAAGATATTTGTAGTCGAAATTGGAGCAAAATACTTCAACATTTTGTGATTCTGCTGTGAGGAAAATAACTTCATTCCTCATTAATCCTGGAGAGAGAAGGGTAGTAACTAGTTACCTTTACTTTAATATATTTTTGGGGAGAAAAAGTACTTTTTGTTATGAAGTATCTCCACTCTTGAGTAAAATTTCTGGTGTTTTTACCCACTAAATTAAAAAACAAACATGTTTTAACCAGACACAGACACCCACCTGCAGCTTCTTTTTATTGACAGAAACTGATTTGGAAAAAAAAATACTTTGCCTGTTTTCTTATTATGTATGTGAATTATTGTCATTTTGGACCTTTAAAATAGCAAAATTTCAACTTAACTTTATATTTTGATCCACCAATGTCATTTTTAATATTAAATGATTGATAATTTGATCAGGTCCTCAGGACTGGAGGAGACCTTTTACTAAATGCTTGTTCATTTTTACTTGAGTAAACATACATTAAAGTAGTGCTACTTTTATTTGAGTAAAATGTTTGCATACTCTGCTCACCATGCTGGCCACGCCCCCAAAATGATTCAAAATTTCAGCTAAACATTTTGATAAGATTTTATTTCCATTACATTTAACCCAGTTGATTCAGCTTTAAAAGCAATTCTAGTGAATACTTTTTCCACTCTGGTAAATAAACGGCTTAATTACATAATTGAAAGCCCAGATTTTATTTGACATTCAGGCTGGCAGCGTAGCAGAGATCCTGCAAATTACAGTGCACAACAACAAAGTACTTCTTTCATTTCTTGCCATCTCAGCACTTTCTCTTCCCAACAGTAGCAACAAGACCAGAACTTTCCCTGAGACTGACAGCACCTTATCTCATTATCTTCAGTGATTCCCCTGCCTGAGGGAGCGCCGTGTTGACGGATTACTACCAAACATCGGCAAACACATGAGCAAGCTCACAATTAAAGGAAAATATTTCACAGAATGTTTTATTTTAAGTGCTGTTGTTCTTGTTGCTTACATTTAGATCCGTCACTGATTTACAGCTACTTGCAATCTCAGCGGAGTACACCCTGCATAGTTGGCCAATCCATTACGAGGCAGCACAGAAACACACATTGATGCTTTGCACTGCGGTTGGTAAAAACAAATGTTTTTAGAAACACTGAAGGTTCTGGATTTTATACACCTGAAAGATGATTAGTCAATATTTTGACAGGATAGTGTATCAATTTAAGGCCAATCATTTTTCCAGATCAAGAACAAATGGTCTATATTTTTAGTCCAGGAACGTTACCTCCCACCAGCTGGTTATAACAACTGCTACAACTGATTTTTTTTGTTGACTAACCATCCAGAAACCACTTGTTGCATTCTTGTTGGTTGGGCAGGAGGCTCCACTTCTGCTTTTCAAAAATGTGAGTTGTATAATGACGCATCCATTTGAGGCCATTTTCATGTGTGAGTGTAAGCGTTGAGTTGGAGGGGGTGAGGAGTTTGGCCAGCAGCAGCCTATTTGGATTTAAAGTGATAGGCCCTAAAATGGCTCATTCTCAAAGGAGCTCAAAATCTCATTATTTGTAAAAATAAATGTAATGAACATCTTTTGTAAAGGCCATGGATCTGTGAATCATATAACTATTTCAAGAAAGCGCAATAAGTGTTGTATTTCCATTTAGCTCAAACACCAAACTTTTTAGATGATGGCACTGCAAGCTAAACATGTAAAAAAAAATTGTGCAAATAATAGTTTATTCAACCCTTACTGACTAGAACCAAAGTTGTATTTGATTTAGCAGTCAGTTGAAATGATTTGGTGCCTTTCTTTTACAGTGTAGGTAAAAATCTGTAGTTATTTTGATGGAGAAAGTGGAGAAAACTGTTTTCTGTGAATTGAAATGTTTTGAGTTCCAGTTTGTGTTTTTGAATCAGGTTGTTTGACAATTTGAAAACTTTGAAAAATGAGCCAAATTTCAAGTTTTGAATTGGCAGAAACCTCCAACCAGGTTCATCCAGACCATGCTGAGGCCATTTAAGGCTGGCTAACCAATCGGGCTCTCTCTCTCTCTCTCTCTCTCTCTCTCTCTCTCTCTCTCTCTCTCTCTCTCTCTCTCTCTCTCACACACACACACAGGAAAAAAACGGACAACGTAAAGGAGCAATAAGCACTGATAATCCTCCAGGATCCTTCATGGGAACAGGCTCTCTCTTTTTTTAGTTGTAATTATCCTCTAATATGGACTCTGATGTCGTCTCTGTTTCCCCCTCACACACACACACACACACACACACACACACACACACACACACACACACACACACACACACACACACACACACACACACAAGCATACAGTAAAGTTTTTGTGCACATCCACACACATTATTGCTCTGTGCATCATTACACTCACTGTATAGCCTTACACAGGTAGAAACCTGAACGCTGTGTTAAGCTGTTTAAGACTCGTTTAGCTTCATTAAGGCAGACGGAGCTCGGCCAGACAAAGTCGCTTTCACTGAGGTCCGCACCGTTTGGTCATGCTTAATTTAACTCGGACCAAATGTCAAGTCATTTTCAACTTTCACTCTGATCTGCACTGTTCTTTCTCCGCCTCGGCTCCATAATGCACACAATTATCATATAAATATGACGCAGTTGGAGTGAAAATGTGCTGACAGGGATGTGTTTAAATCACACTTGAGCACAAAAAGTACTCTGCCAGTGGTTTCACGTGACTTTTCCACCTGAGGAGAGGCTGATTGAAGACGGGAAAGCCGTCAGAACTTGGAGCTGAGGGAAATGATCTGTCAGAAAAACGCCTCGTGACTTGACAGGAGTTGGTATTTTCTGTCGGTGCGGTTGCTTTAATGTGGCTTCGCTTTCTGGCAGGACATTAAAACAGACTGAAGAGGTTTTAAATGAGTGTAATTACTGTATAATAAGATGAATTATATTAATTCAAAAGTAATTTTCCTCCTGCAATATTTATTCAAATTTAAAAAATAATTTTTTCTCTGCGTTTCTCTTTCTTGTCCTGAATTTTTTTTTAGAATTAAAATTCCAAATAGACACTTCTAGACATTTTCTCTCCTTTCTGTAAAAG